CTCCTAAACTAAAAGTAAGTTGAAACTTCATATGGGAAAACCAAAATTATTTCTATTTTTTAAACAATTTACACTAAATTTAAGTTTTTTCCTGGAGAAAATTTTGGTTTCATAAAAGTTGAAGCAGAAAATTCTGAGATTATTCCCATCTCAGAGTGATGCTGGATCACAGTCTCTTTACTGGTTGTTTCCTGGGTAGAATCCCTGATTCCTGCATCTTCCCCAAACCTGAGACCCTGAAAGTCCCATGCTAGGAACAAGTAACTTTCTTTGGAGAGCAGACTAGTTAAGAGCACAGCACTGTGGTATTGGTACAACTATTTGTGGTTTAGGTTCCACCCAAAACTACTCAAATAACTAAGTAGAGGAGCCCAGAACATTTTTAAAAAATAAAAAAAAATAAGATTTTTTTTATGAAGCTACTTTTTTAATAAAAAAATAAGATTCTTTAAGCAGTTCAGATATACTGTTTTGGTTAGGAATATTATATTACCTAGTCAGACGACTCAAATCATGTTATGTTATTAGGGCTGCACAGGATGTGCATCTACCCTTAGGTTAATTGTCTCCCCTCAAAGTAAACAAAAAATGTTACAGGGTTGAATACATTATGTTTTGGGTGCTATTTCAGACTTCATTCTCTTAAATTGCCCAACTTTCATTTACGATTCCCGCTGAGGCCATGGCAAAGTCCCTCTAATGTATAAACCACACAGAAAATATTTATCAGCTTCAATATTTCAGGAGACAAAAGAAAATAAAAAATGGAGGAGGAGAGATGAATATACAGCATTCCCTTAAATACAAGGTCATAAACTTTATTCAAGCACAAGTGCCTTTTTTCTGGTATAGTATATTAGGGATTCAGAAAAAAAAAGGATGTGTTTTAATCCATTACAAATATAAAAACTGGAGATTAAGGAACAATTTCTCTTCCTAAATTCACCAGTGAATTGTGACAGAGTAAATTTTTGATCACTCAGTGTTTATATTATCACATTCTCAAATGGAGAAAATATTTTCTTGATATTAAGTAATGCAATCATTACATTACATTACAAATACTGTATATTAAAAAAGATATTTTAAATTAGTGCAGACAACGTTTTTAATCTTACCTGCTTCATATATTCACAACTTGCAGTCTCTCTGGTTCAACCCCCGCTACCTCATGCCAGAGTCAGTTAAGAAAGAATTCCCTAACTAGATACATAATAATATAAAAAACAATAAAATAAATTATATAGGAAATACTCCAATGATCTCTATTATCAGACAGTTCCATATTGTATATCCATGTCACATCAAAATATAGAAAAGCATAGGCGTCAAGGAAGACAGGTTGTGATAAATGATAGCACATTCTATAACTAGACTTATGTGAAAATGCAGTTCCTCTTACTGGAGTCACCCTACACCAGGCCCCTAAAAGAGATGACATAAATAAATCCTGTTTGATGGTATGTCAAATTTTTTGAAGATAAAGGAATACAAGCATTGTCATTTGCCTGAATAAGTACAAATTAAAAACTGTCAAAATTTGTAGTGAGTTTTTCAGAAAAGGAAAAAAAAATTAAGGTCTCTCAGAATTGCTTTTAAAAATAAGAACATGAGCTTTATATATTGTTAAATTCTTTTTACTGAGTTGGGAGCTGGGAATCACAGAGATACTAAATTTTTTTCAGTAACTCTTAATGCTGATCCTGCCATTTCCTTCCAAACTCAGAAAAGTTTTTTACTTACCCAGTTTATTATAAAACACAGGTTTTTCATTTTTTTATGATAAATACTCAAAAACTATTAGCTATTAGAGCATTTTAATGATAAGTAAACTACATTATAATGTAAAATGTCAGACTACTTTATTGAAAATTAGTACGCATATATAATATTACATTCACCAAGCAGAGTTCAATTCTATCCTTTATCATAATTGTTTCTTGTGTCATGAATTTATCCACTACTTCATCCCCTTCTCCTCTGCAAACCATTAATAAGTCTTATCCAAAAATTCGTGTTTTTTTAAAATTCATGTTAGTTTTTTATATACCACATGTCAGTGCAATCAGAGAGTATATTTCTCTGACTTGTTTCATGAAGCATAATAACGTCTCTGTTCATGTTATCACAAATGTCAGTCAAACAGCATTTCACTTTCTTTATAGTCAAATAGTATACCATTATCTATCTATCTATCTATCTATCTATTTCCATGCATGTACACTACATCTTACTTATCCATACTTAGCTGATGACCACTTAGGCTCTTCACAGTTTCCATTGAAAATATTTTTAAAATAAATATAAGATTGTACATATCTTTTTAAATTAGAGCTTTATATTTTTCATAAAAAATATCCAGAGTGAGATAACTGGCATATGGAATTTATATTTTTAGTTTTTTGAGGTATTTTGATACCGTTTTCCATAATGACCACACCAATTTAAATTCTGCCCAACTTTTCTCCAAAACTTTTCCAAGATGTATTTATCATGTTTTGGTTAATAGTTTTTCCCACAGATATAAGGTGGTATTTCTTGATTTCTTGTTTTCATTTGTATTTTCCTAATAAAAGATGAGAAACATTTTTTCATATGTCTATTGCATATCTTCTTTGGAGACATGTTTATTCATATCCTATGCCCATTTTATGATTGAAACCTGATCTTCTCTTAATAACGTAGTTACATAGTGCACTGATACTGTCATAAAATGAATGCTGAACTTTCCAAGTTCTTTAGCAATACTTCACTGATAAAATAGTCATGAAGACTACTTTGTGACATCTAACAAAACATAAGGAATCATTCTCAATTAAAAAACTCATCTAAAATATTTATAGTAGCTTGATATGCAAATATACACAGTATATTATTCATAATAAAGAGAATAAACTACCCAAATGTCTACCACCTGGTGTGGCTAAACAAAACGTGACATATTCACATGATAGAATATTACTCAGCTTAAAAAATGGTATACTGATACAAAATGAATGATCTTAAAAATATGCGAAATGAAACTAGTTATGAAAGACCAAAAGTTCTATGAGTCCATTATATGATATATCCATAATAGACTTTGTGTGGGTTAAGGTTATGATAAGTGTTCATGGGTGTGAAGATTCTTGTTAGAGTAATGAAAATGTTCTAAAATTAACTGTGGTGATGACTGCATAACTATTAACATACTTTAAAACAAGTGAATCATACATTTAAAATGGTATATGAAGTATTATCCAATAAGGATGTTAATTTTTAAAAAGTTAAAAGCACATAGAAACAAAATTTTCCAGATATTTTGTAAGGGTTTAATGAAACCTGAAGTTATATCTACAGTTGCATTGGGGTCCAAAACTCAAGTTCACTAAATATATAAAAACAAGAATCATCATCTCATTTTATTTGTTTTACATACAGGTTTTATTTTAGCATTCTTCATAACTGTGCTTCCTAGTTTTAAATATCTCTATTTCATTTACTAGATTGCATCACTTCAAGTTTTTAACATCGATTAAGTAAAATTTAGTAACATAATTTTAAAATATAAGTTTAAAAAGAATCTTTAACACTTGTCTATTAATTTTAAAATAAAGTTGGATTAAAAAATGTAAAAGGTCTAATTTCTTCCCTGAAGAAACTTAAAATCTAGTATGTAAAGAGATGAACAAGTTACTATATAAAATGGGACGTGAATTCTGTATTTGAAAGGTTAGGGAAGAGTTTTGAGGAGGAATGAATAAAGGAAAGCTTCATGGTAGAGGTATAGTTAGTGCTGGATTTGACCTTGAAGAATAAGCAGGATTTGAACGTGCAGAAAACTAAAGAGAATTTCATATTAGGGAAGAAGCAGGAATGTTTCAAAACAGTTCCTAGGAAACATCAAGAGGGACCTGATATAAAATAAGGATCATATACTTTATTATTAGGTAGCCTGGGAAAAAACAAAGAAGGCTGTTGAGGAAGGCAGTTACTCATCAAAGTAGAATGTTAAAAAGATTGATTTTGCTGTAGTGTGTGGGTACATGTGGAAGAGGAAAAAACTGGAGGCAAGGAAACAAATCAGAAGCCTATTACAATAGTTTGAAGAAAAAGTTACTAGAGTTTCACTTAGGGAGTGGCATCCTGACTCAGTGGCCATTTTAAAAGATAAATAATCCACTGAAAAACACGTTTTGGCATGCAGTAGTTATTCATTTAAGGATAATCTGTAAAGAAAGCCATTGTAGTTCACTCATCGGTGAGCTATTTCCTAGAGGAACTCCAACTACAACATGAATTTAGAGTTCCTTAAAATAACATTTTAACAAAGTTTTGGCCATATAAGTTTACTAGACTCGGATAGGCAGCAATGGTGCCTCCATTTACTATAGTGGGAGCATTTTAAATTCTGGAAGTTTACATTAAAATATTCTGATGAAAGTTGGAAGATTGATTAGCTTCCACGTGGCCGAGTGAAACCGAACTCCAAGACAAAAGATCCCTGTCAATATGACAAATTTTCTACTAGCAAAAACTAAAGGGGCAAGATGACTGTTGAGCACAATAAAATTTCCTTGTAATTACTTATATTCCATTTCTATGTAAGCCTGTGGTGATTGGAAGAACAGCATAAATCTGGGGAGTGTCGATTTTTAGGCTATAAAATTTACCACTTGGACAGAAATACCGCAGATTACATGGGCGAATTTATCTTCTTGGGAAAGCCGAGGATTAGTGCTAGCGTAGAAGACAGAGGAAGACAGAGGGTAACAGAAAAGCATCCGCCTTCTTACACAAAGCGATGTTAAACGCAGGAACTAAGGAAGAGGGTTGGAGCTCAGTATCATATGACATCCCCCTCCTTTTTGGAAAAAAAAAAAAGGCGGAGAGGCTGTATGAGCTCTTGGCACCGGTTTCCCAAGATCAAGCACACTACACCCATTAGTTCTTTAACTTCCTATCCCAGGCAACTCCTAAGAGACCCTCCACCTCCCTTTTCCCTCCTGTTCTCTGCTCACTTGTCCCGGATGATGGTCTGCAGCTCCCGGATCTGATCATTCATAGGCAGCAGTTTAAGCTGCGTCCCGATCTGCTGAGAGAGTTCACAGTCACCTAAGAGGGAGTATCTGACTGGTGCGTCATAACTGCTACTGCCGCCGTTGCTCTCAGAGTTGAGATTCTTGCCACTGCAGGCCTCAGGGTCCCGCTTGTCCGGTAGGCTAGAATGGGCGTGCCCGGTTAGGAGAGCCGATTTGGTTACGGAGGCGCTGTTTCCCCCAGCATGGTCCGGGATTAGGTCGCCAGGTCGCGGCAGCTCGAGGCTTGGAGTTGAAACAGATTTCACTTGCTGGTTGTGACAGGGCATGGAGTCTGTACACCGTAACTCCGTGGCCATACACCGAGTTCCGGGTTTAACCCGCGCTACCAACGCCTAAGGATAAAGGAGAGAGGGGCCAATGCTCAAGTGCGCTCTCTAAAAGGCCCCCCCGCCTCCTCGGAACTGCTAACCCCCGCCGCCCTCTCACCCCTAGGCCTCCCTGGTTTCATTTCTCAGCCCCGCCTACTACAGTCATACTGCTTTTCCAGACGCTCTATTGGCTTCTCTTCTTGCCACTCGGCAGAGCACTACTCATTAACCCTTTGAGTCACTTCTGCTATGTGGGTTCCCACAACTAGCCGGACATATGGGGAGAGGCTAGGGATGCTCGGTTGATATTCTTCTGGGAGCTCCAAGATATTCTGTATTGAGAAATTTGGGTGAGTGGTAGAAGCAGGATAAAGCTAGAGATGGGGTGTGATTAAATGTGATAAATACCTAGCAGGCCTCTTAAGAGCCTGCCCTCTACTAGACTGCTCTACAAACTAAAGCTTCTCAAAAGTGCTTGACTACCAGAGCTTTCCTTTATTGATTGCCCTATATCATACAGTTACGCTGGGGGTCCTAATACCTTTCAGATCCATTACCTTATTCTTTTTTGAAGTTTTGGAAAAACATATTTTGTTTGCTTAGTGTACAGACTCAGTATAGAGGCCTAAGATAGCAGTGTCCATGGCAGTATTTTTCAGCATCACTCTGTATGTGAACGACTGTAGAGCTTCTTAAAATGAGGATTCTTGTGCCCTTCCTTAAAAAGTCTAATTCATTAGAGCTGAGCTTGAATCTAAGAATCTTTATTTTTAACAAGCAACCCAGCTGCTATGCTTTTAAAAAATAGTTCTCTTTGCGCATACAGGCTCCCTTTGTGTAGTGTCATAACCTGGAATTCAGAAACCTGCTTATTCTGAGCACACACACAAAAAGACTGAGCAACAACTAACAAGCTTCTCCCCTTTTCTGCACTTGACTTATCCCATTAATAGGTGAAATGCATTAACTAGTTGACCGCTAAATACTCTTCTGATTTTGACATCCTGTAATTCTGTTTTGTCTTTTAAAGAGACAGTACTTAAAATTCCTTTTTCCACACAGGAACAAAACAAAAGCTAAGCAGGGATTCTGAGAAGTATGAGTGATAGATAATAGGAATATTCAGGCCTTATTTGGATAATGAGATTTCATTTGGCCCTCTATTTTCTGCTTTTGTTTGTTGATCTTGTATTGGTAATAATAGAATTTCTATCCCTCCTCCCAATTTCTCGGCATTGTGCTTGTACCTCTAGGTCAGTACATTTTAGCTGCAATTACAGATTTTAAATTCAATCAGATGATAAGAGTTGCAATGCAGACAATAACTGTAGTTCCACCCACTTTAGAGAGTCTGTGCATCCTTTCACCCAGCAGAGAATGTTATTTAGAGTCTGTGTTTTCTAAAGTCAGTATTATTCCCGACCTGGGAGGGTGCTTATACAATCCAGGGGTGTCATTAGCCTCAGGTGCAATTGAGGGGCACTATCTGTTTGATTAAAGGAAGTATGTGAACAACTCTGTATATTTCCTAAGGGGAAAGTAGGGAGATGCTGAGGGTTTTTTTTCTAAAAGGAAATAGTAGATGAAGTAAGTTTGGGGACCTCTTGAAGGATGAATCTAACTTGATGTGGGCAGGAACTATTAAATTACTACTTTGCCCAAGAATTCTCTAGAGGAATACATGGAAATGTAGTATGAATGATTATCAGTAATTAAATGCAGTAATGAATTCTAAATGATGTGGTGTGACATCCCAGGACCAAAACTGAACTGTAGTTATTTTTGTCTAGTGTCTCATCAGGCAGTCACCATGTTCTCAATGCCAAAGAACATGAATTAGAAAGTACAACTGCAAATGTGTCTGGTGTTTTCACTCCTGTAGAAAACACCTATATTAATCAATTGCCATAAGAGAATGTACTTATTTAGTCAGATTAATTAAGATGCTATTAAATGCAAAACTTAATGATGATCAATCATAATAACACCTTACACTTATTGGTTTATCATTTACAAACAAATTCTATAGAGGCCATAGAGATAGTGCAGTGGGAAAGGCACTTGCCTTGCATGCAACTGACCCAGGTTCAATCTCAGCATACCTATGGTACCCCAAGACAGCCAGAAATGATCCTTATCACAGAGCAAGGAGTAAGCCCTGAGCACTACCAGGTGTGCCCCCCCCCCAAAAACAAACCAAAAGATTTTATACTTTGTCTCTTAAACCTACCCCAAAATTTGAGAATTACCATTCCTCCGTTATTCGTATAATTCTTCCTAAGGGACTTGCCCGAGGCCACACATCCAAAAAAGGGGAGTTAAACCAATAGAGGATCTCCAGACTTTTAACCCAGTCTTCTTCATACACACCCACAAATTCATGAAATCATTTATCTAAATACTGGTTGAGTCTTTATATATTTGCCAAGACTGTTGTTTGGTGCAAAAACAGATGCGAAAATGGGAGAATTTCATGATCATGAAGAATGGATTTTATTAAATTATAGTTGGGTTACAGCATGGTTACAATATTGTTAATATTCATAGTTTTGATGGACACAATTATAGCAACTCACCATCACCAGTATGCCTAAGACTTTGTACTACTGTCTTTAGGTTACTTCTAGTCCACCTTTTCATTCTCTCTTTTTGTTTATTTGTTTGTTTTCTTTCATATGGCTGTGTGTTCCAACCAAGAAGTAGAAAACAAAGCTAAACTCTATTTTGTCAATCAGTTCGTAGAAATCAACAGGTTTAGTTTTCTTGTTTCCCACTTCTTGAAGAAGGTGCAGAACCAGATAAAAGTTGGAAGAACCTCTTGTAACAGTTAAGATGACTGTAAACTTCATTTTCAGTTTAAAGCACTAAAATTCTATGTGATTCCTAAAGTTGTAGGAAGCAGCATTTACTGAGAAATCTATCACATTCATCTACATAACAACTTTACAAAATACTTATTCTTTTTACTTATCGTTGGTTTAAAATAGCATAGGATTTCAGGGGTATAGCTTCCACAGCTCTATTTGTATATAATACTCAGCACAGCCACCACCAAATCTTCAGCATCAATTCAGTACCAGAATGACACCTCTCCCTTTCCTTCCTAGTGCCTTTCTTCTTCCTTTAAGTAACCATTATAGCTTTCAAAGCCTGAGAGTTTTGTTGGTTTTGAACAATTCGTGTACTTCAGTAATTCATATTACACATATAGTGAAACTATCCAATAATAGGTGAACTATCTTTCACCTATTATTTACCTTCACTATCACTATCACTATCCTCCTATTGTTCATCAATTTGCTCGAGCAGGCCCCTCTATCATGAGACTTGTTACTGTGTTTGGCATATCCAATACGTCACAGGTAGCTTGCCAGGCTCTGCCATGCAGGAGAGATACTCTCGGTAGCTTGCCAGGCTCTCCGAGAGGGGCAGAGGAATCGAACTCGGGTCAGCCATGTTGGCTGCGTGCAAGGTAGATGCCCTACCCGCTATACTATCGCTCCAGCCCATTATTTACCTTAGTTTAGCATAATCACCTCAGTGCCCATTCATTTAATCCCCAAAGTCATGATTTTACCTTTTAATATGATAGCCTCAGTATATAAACCACAGCTTCTTTATCTTGCTATCTATCTATAAACACATCAGTTGATTGTATGTTTTGCCTATTATAAATAATATTTCTATGAACATAGAGGTGAAAATATCTGTTGTTACTGTTTTTTATCCCCCGAAGGAACATGGGTGGGAGAGCAGTTCCTGTGATACTTATTTGTACTGTCCTGATGAGTCAGTGCTCCAGTATGGCAATCCCAAGCTCAAATATAGCATAGCTGGGGGCCAGCAGGGCTACACCTGGCAGTGTTTGGAGGCCATGCGGTACTGCAGATCAGATTCATGCAAAGCATGCTCCCCTGTCCTTTGAACTATCTATCCAGTCCTACAAATATCTTTTTGAGTTGATTTTTTTCTTATCCCTTAGATAAATGCTGAGAAATTGTACTGCTGGATGACATGGAATTTTCAGTTTTGATTTTAGAAAGACTCTCTGTTTCTTATAAAGTGGAAACCATCTTACTTTCCAACCAAAATCATGCTAGAGTTCTTTTCTCTTCATATCCTTAAAGTACTTGTTATCCCCAACATTTTTATATAAGCCATACTCACAAGTGTGAGGTGATATATCACTTGTTTCGATTTACATTTTCAAAATAATAATTGATGATGAACAGTTTTATGTGTCTATGATCCATACATTACATGTTTTTGAGAAGTATCAAGTATTTTGTCCCCTTCTTAATTGTGATGATTGCTGTTTTGTTGTTGTTATCAATAACAACAACATTGTTTACTTGTTGTTGATGTGCAAAAATCCTCTCAAAGTTTCTAGGTTGACTTTTTGTTTTTATGGTTATTTTTCTGAATAAAATCTTTTAAACTTTGGGGCCAGATAGACAGTACAGGGGTTAAGGTGTTTTCCTTACATGAAGAAAACCAAATTTTGATCCCTGGCACCACATATGGTCCCCTAAGCACTGCCAGGAGTGATCACGGAGCACCAGAAACCCTGAATACATCTAGGTGTGGCCCCAAAACAAAATAAACAGAAAAGGTTTTAAATTTTATCTAGTCCTAGTTGTTTACTCTTGGCCCAATCTCCTGCCCCCTCACCAGGCTGTCTTCACCGGGGCCCCTGGGAGGGGGGCGGGTTGAGTTTCCCTCCCTGCCCCAAGCAGAACCCTGACGGCCGAAAACCTCCAGAACCCAGCCACAGCCATACTCTAGTCCATTCAAGTTTCTAGTCCACTCAAGTCTCTAGTCCACACGCTCAGACGAGCCTCACACATGAAGGAACTTGTAGAGGAACGCAAGTATGCAGGACCCATGACTGAGATCACCAAGCCTTCTCGGATGGGGACTGGGCCTCCTCTAACCAGATTCCCCATTTTCCAGTAGCTTGGCAGTCACACCTACAAACTGCGCCCAGCACCATGTAACCTCATCAACAGCCAAGATCCAGAGACTATAAAACAAAGCTCCTGGAAGAGAATCTCCAGAACGCAGAATCTCCTGCCCCACACTAGC